GCAGTGGCCGCTCCCGGCCACCGCAGCCTCGACCTGCTGGGCTCCAGCAATCCTTCCACCTCAGCCTTCCAAGTAACCAGAATTACAGGCATGCTACCACGCCCGGCTGATTTTTTGATTTATTGTAGAGATGAAGTCTCACTGCCCAAGCGGGTCTCGAACCTGCCAGCTCAGGCAATCCACTCACCTCAGCCTCCCAAAGGCGCAGGATTATAGGCTGAGCCACCGAGCCCGGCTCCAATCCCTTTCTTAAAATATTATGATAATTGTTCAAGGTCCACTTATGAGTGAGAACATATGGTACTCTGTTCTTTGTTTCTGTGATAGATCACTGAGTATGATAGAGGGACTGGAGTCCAGTATTCAAAGTCCTCAAAGATAAACAATTTCAACCAATAATTTCCTACCCAGCCAAGTTTAGCTTCATCAGTGATGGAGAATTAAAATCCTTCCCAGAATCCAATCCCTAAGAGATTATGCAGTTTCCAGACCAACTCTACAGGAGATACTTAAAAAGGTATTAAGTGCAAAAGAAAGAAAAAAAAAATAGCAGGGAACTTGAATCTCTTGTTTTAAGAGGGCCATTAAAACAGATAAAGCACCAGCCCAGCCCTCAGAAGGAAGCTTCTATAAGCCAGAAGGAGAGTTAAGATACTCGATGTAAGGCAAGTATGGAGAAAGAGAGGATGAGCCGAATGATTAAAGAAAATTTATTAGAGGGAAAGGAAAGAAAAATTGGCCCTAAAGAAGAACTAAGCCGGGATCAGTGGCTCAGCCTGTAATCCCGTGCCTTTGGGAGGCTGAGGTGAGTGGATTGCCTGAGCCCGCGGGTTCGAGACCCGCCTGGGCAACTTGACAAGACCTCATCTCTACAATAAATAAAAAATTAGCCGGGTGTGGTAGGGCGCACCTATAGTTCCAGCTACTTGGAAGGCTGAGGCGGAAGGATTGCCGGAGCCCAGCAGGTCGAGGCTGCAGTGGCCGGGAGTGGCCACTGCACTCCAGTCTGGGTAACAGAGTGAGACTCCAACTCAAAAAAAAAAAAAGAAGAACCAGCAGCTTTGTTCTCTTGCAGGCCCCTTATAAAACCCCAGTCAAGACTTACCAGGCTCCAAGCAATTTAGGGAGTTTGAGTTGGTCGCCTGGCCCTGAGATGCAGATGTTGGCACTGTTGGGGGCTGCTGGTCCCACGGCCTTGAAGTGCAGATGTCCGCACTATCATTATCAGGGATGTTGTTACTCATTTGTCTCTGAAATGCAGCCTTAGGAAAGCAAACACTGACAGTTCCAGGACGTTATTAGTTACATAGCTTTGGGATGCGGGCTTGGGAAAGCAGATATTGGCAGTAAAGCAATTAGTAACAGGACACTGTTAGATCAGAGTGTTAACTTTTTGGGCTGTTGTAACTCTGTGCTCCCTTTGCGAGGTTCATATGAGATGTTTTAACTACAACCTCCTCTCCCATCCCCCTACAAACCCTATCAGTTGGCTCTTTTCTACAGAAAAGTGAGAAAGTAAGAAGAGACTGTCTCCTACCACACCCAGTCATTCAAATTAAAACAAACTTTTGTCTCTTTCTGTAGAAAAAATTCAAACAGTTCCAACTGGGGTGTATATGGGAGGAAGGATTTTATTTATTACTTTGTGACTAGCTCTGTAAATCATGACATTTGAAACAAGGACGCCTGTGAGTAGGAGGGGGGATAGAACTACCAAAAACTTTAAATTGGATTCTAGTGGAAATAAGATCAAAGCTATAGTCAAGAAATCTGGTATGAGTCTTACTAATAATTAAAAAGCACTACTCAGTGACTTCACCTAGTGTCTTTACCCATTAACTTTGGATGGCTTCATTACACACTACCCCAAAATATGGCACCTTAGCATTTCAAAAAACGGCAAAAGCAGGAAGGTATCTCTGACTTTCTCCTCATTCTGTTTCCCTGAAGCAGGACATAACAGAATTCCCTGTTCCTCCTCTCTGAAGTAGATCATAAGACCCTCATTCCAAAGGTCTCCTGCCTATATTCGAAGGATAGAAACATCCTTATCCTGGAAGACACAGAGACGCCAAGAAGAATCTGAGCAGACAGACCTTGATAAGTTCTCCTCAGTTTATTATTATTAGATCATACCCTTTTGTCTTCCAGTCATAGTTCTCCAAACTATCTACTTCTTCAGCAAACTAGTATTTTAAAATGTACAAGTTTACCTGTTTCTTTGGGTCTTGATTTCCAAAAGCTACCATGTCACATAAAATTTATATTAAATAAATGTATATGGTACTTTTTTCTTGTTAATCCATCTTTCGTTATAGGGGTCTCAACCATGAACCTAGCAGTGGGTGAGAAAAAAAAAATCTTTTTCTCCCCTACACTTCCAATGTATAAAAATGGGTATAATAACAAGTTTTTAGACCAGATTTGGACTTCTAGGAATATTTTATTCTTTCATTTATATACTTTAATGTTCATACATATATTCTGTTTTGTAAATAACCTTTCCAATTTAGGTATCAATCCATATGTATAATGTAAAATTTTCAAATCTCCATATCTCCACTAAGATACATTCTACTTTAGAATCTGCATGTTTACATTTATATGAATAAATTAAACACTATCTCTATAAATATATTCAAATAATATATTTGTTTTGGATTATGTAGCATGAAATAATTATATATCAATACAGTATTTTTACATTTATTTATATGTGATTGTGAGACAAAAGTTTTACACAAAAGATTCGTTTTCTTGAAATAAAATTTACATAAATTATGGACAGTCTATTTGTGTGAAAGCTCCCTCCTCCCTCCTTTTCAGATATATTTTCCATTTGGCTATATAAAGCATACATTTTGGCATGAAATAAAATTCCAAAATCATTCAAGTAGTACAACTAGTACATTTGAATTATATTTTTAAGTGTTAAAAAGAAAAATTATAACTGTTTATGGTTCCATTGAAGTGATTTCTCATTCTCTCACTCTTTTCATATCTTAACCTACTTCTCAGAGTTTTTCAGTCAAAGTATTCCTCTACTGAAGCATCACCATGAGATGAGGTTTTAGAACACTGCCTGTTTTACATCTGCTAAGGATAGAATGCTTAGACTTGAGTAAGCCCATCAAGATACAACATTGGGATGTTAACATCCCTTTTTAAATGCATTTCTACCCCAGATTAACTTCCAGAAAATTCCACTGGCTAGACCTATGTTGTCCGTATGGTAACCACATGTGTGTAGGAGCCCCAGTATCCTCCACTTTCCTCTGTCCCATCAAGAGTGCTTTGATGGCTATGTGACCTGGACAGCTACCTGTTTTCCCCTGTAGGTTTGAACCGAAGCCTGGGTCTTGAACATTCCCAGACACTAATAAAGGTGTTTGGGTTGTTGTTGAAAACACTGAAAGGTCAACCATGTTACCAAACATGTAGAAGCTAGCCCGGCCTACACCCAAATCCCTTAAACTTTCATTTGAACTCCATAATCTGAGCCCCTCACTGGGAACAGGTTATGGAGTAGAACATCCTTTGTCTCATTGTCCATCACGAGGACATGGTAGCCCACTCTGTACCTAAGTTACCTTTATAAATGCTTTGGACTGATCACCCTGTCTTTTAGTGCTTCTTTCTTTGGAATCCCATCTGGCCCCATCTTAGGACAGTTTGGCGCACTCCCTTGTGGGAATTCCTCTACTGCTGCTTTTGGAAGGACTCTAGCCACAGGTTGGCCTAATGGAACTAAATTTAATTTATTTTAAAATTCAGTTTCACACCAGCCACCATGCAAGTACTCAAGAACCACGTGTCTGGTGGTTGCAGCATTGCACAACACAGATATAGAACATTTCCATCACTGCAGAAAGCCACACTGGACAGCACTGGGCCGGACCCCAGAGGAGTCAATTCATATATAAATATGCAACTATATGCATATGTTCCTTCTCAGGCACAAAAGCTATTTGTTTTTGCTTATCTTTAAGACCATCAGTCCCAATCCTGCTTATTTTAGTCCAAGGCAGTGATATAAAAATAAGAGATTGTGTACTGTTTCTCCAAATCATGTGGTGTGCCATAAGGACCCACAACCCTGCAATGAATCCCACCTTCACTGATGTCAGACACAGTCCCATGGGCTCACTCAGGACTGAAGCACCTTTGCTGTGGGCAGAGTTCTACTGTGGTACTCACAAGGAAGCCTTGCCAGGGAATCCTCATCAGTGTGGACTAGTCATCTCCGTCCCCCTCTATAGCCACCTTGGAGGAAGGGGCCTGGAGGGCATTGCCTCTGCTCATTACTGAGGGGGTTCCAGGATCCCCAAGGTGGCCACTCAGAGCAGGAAGACCATTCATGAAGACTATTCAAGGCCTCCTATGACCAGCCAGGCCCATACTTCCTCAACTCTAGCTACCTGCACACCATCTGAGCATCTCGTGTCCGATGCATAGGCAGACATTCCAGCTTTCTTTCTACCTTTGACACCCAGATTGTACCTAAAGTCTCTCCTGAGAGCCTACACTTGCCAAAATATAATTTCAAACATATAGAAACAGCAGGGAAATTATTCTTAGAAAAGAAATAATACATTAAAACTTTTTCAAAATAACAAACTCTCATCTGACTTGTCCAATATAAATATTCTTTTCACAGCCCTTTTATCTCTTGATTTCTGAAAACAATGCACTCAGCTTCCGAATTTGGTCTTTTTTTTTTTGAGTTGGAGTCTCACTCAGTTGCCCAGACTGCAGTGCAGTGGCTGCTCCCAGTCACCACAGCCTCGACCTGCTAGGCTCCGGCAATCCTTCCGCCTCAGCCTTCTGAGTAGCTGGAATTACAGGCACATGCTACCACACCCAGCTGATTTTTTGATTTATTGTAGAGATGAGGTTTCGCCAAGTTGCCCAGGCGGGTCTCGAACCTGCAGGCTCAGGCACTTCACTCACCTCAGCCTCCCAAAGCGCGGGATTACAGGCTGAGCCACTGAGTCCGGCCAGTCTTTATGTTATAATTTTTTTAAGTGATACATTTAAAAAATATTAAATATACATTATTTGGAAACAACTGTATGCAAAATGAACCTGTAAATATCAATCTATAAACCAATTTATCAATTCTCCAGTCCATAAAAGGAGGTATTAATATACTTGAAATTTGAAAATCATTTCTCTTAACAACTAGTGATAGTGGTTTCTAGACTTTGTCCTTAAGCATGAGCCATTATTCCTATATGACATGACCCATGATACAAAGATCTAAAGCTCCACAGGAGAGCGAGATTTTGCAGTCTTCTGAAGGATGACATCAAAGTTGAAGGCTAAAAGACACTTTGGTGGTATAGCTTGGAACAGATTCTGTAACAAAAAGAAAAAATATGCTTAGCCATTCTCCATTTTATTGCGGAATGTAACTACACTGTGTGGCCTATGACAATACACAAATTATGGTCACTTCAGGTTTTTGTTTTTTGTTTTTTTGGTTTTTTTTGAGTTGGAGTCTCACTCGGTCGCCCAGTCTGGAGTGCAGTGGCCACTCCCGGCCACCACAGCCTCGATCTGCTGGACTCCGGCGATCCTTTCCACCTCAGCCTTCCAAGTAGCTAGAACTACAGGCATGCGCCACCACTCCCGGCTAATTTTTGATTTATTGTAGAGATGAGGTCTCGCCAAGTTGCCCAGGCAGGTATCGAACCCACGGGCTCAGGCAATCCACTCACCTCAGTCTCCCAAAGTGCTGGGATTACAGGCTGAGCCACCGAGCCCAGCTCACTTCAGGTTTTAAGTATAGAGATAACATATAGCTAATAAGTACTAATGTATTTATCATCCACCATTAAATCAGTCACAAATGTGTAGTCAAGCTTTAGAAATGTTTGAATCCAAGAATCACTGACATGCATTCTTCTGCAATCTTTCCAACCAACTCATACAGCTACCATCAAGATTATGAAAACTATATGACAAAAGCTACTTGTTTATGCTTATCTTCAAGATCATCAGTCCCAATCCTGCTTATTTTAGTCCAAGGCAGTGGTATAAAAATAAGAGATTGTGTACTGTTTCTCCAAATCATGTGGTGACAAAATGGGAATAGATGATTAAGGACAAGGGACTATGGATACCAAGTTTATGCTTATACTATGGAAGAGAGTACAGTTTATAAGAGAAGTTTGGGCTATTCCTAAACCAAGCACCATCTTACTAGGTAAACCTACTTTCAGCCTTGCTCATGCCACTAGTTACTGCCCTCCCTCTCTCCTTTCAATTAATTAATTTTAAAAGCAAATTATTATTATTGGTCCAAAATTTAATATCTATTTTCTCTCATTCTTGTTGTACTTTTATATAATAGCACTAAAATATAATTATGAATCAATAAATGAGTAGCAATAAAGTTTTTCACAGGAGGAAAATCATGTAACCCAAAGAAAAATTTTTAAAAATCAATAGTTCTGTAATCTCAGTTCCACATTTAACATAAATTTCTCATTTATTTTATAATTGTTCAGCATTTAAGATTAGGGGCAGTCAAGCAGATTAAAGGGGAACATACAGAAATTTTCGTAATTTAGTTGAATATTTTAAAAATCTGTCAAATAAATAGCATTTTTCATTAATGCCATTGAAATCTTTGAATCGCTGAACGTGACAAGACACCTACTAAAAGGCAGGAGTATGCTGATGTGCATGATGTTTTCTGAGGGTGACTGAAGGAACTTGCCCGTACCTGCTCATCTTCCACAGCACAGGGGCCTGGGCTACCTCCTCCCTAAATCCACAAGCACGGCATCTCTCTCTGTCAGGGCCACACCCAGTCAACCAAAGAAAAGAACTGACAAAGTAAGTGATAGGTCCACACCCAGAGAGGAGGTGGTGATTGGAAGATGGAAGATTGGTGCCCTTCTTCCCGTGAATGTGTTTGTGATGGGAGGGAGGGGTTCTATGTCTTCCAGAACACCATTAGAATCTCTGACTCCTTTGGAAACAGCCAACAGAATGCAGCCCTGGAAAAACCACTTCCCACCCTTTCCTGAGGTATTTGATATCCTCTGCCCCTAGCTTCTCTGTATTCTCACCACCCCATAGAAACCCAAAACCTAATGCCCCTATCTTTTAATCTGACATCCTGTGTTTTTCCTTTTGTGGCTTTCATATAGGTGGTCCTTAATTTATATGAGATAACTTTTTCAAAAGTTAAATTTAAATGAATTTTCAAAAGTTAAATTTAAATGAATTTTTTTTTTGGAGTTGGAGTCTCTGTCACCCAGGCTAAAGAGCAGTGGCACACTCATGGCCACCTCAGCTCTGACCTGCTGGGCTCAGGCAATCCTTTCACCTCAGCCTTCTAAGTAGCTGGATCTATAGGCACTAAATGAATTTTTGAAATGGAATCTCATTTTCCCATTAACTTAGAATACTACTGTCAATATGATTTAGTTAAAACTTCACGTATGGTTAATAATTTAACCCTCACATTTTATGTGTTCCCAGCATGTCAGTTAAATAGCTGATGATATATCAAGCATTCAAATGGACTAAAAAATTTTGGTATTTTAAGGAAATATATCATTTTAGGTTTTTTTGGAGGGTAAATGGAAAAATAATTTACAAAGTAACCTGTCCCCTAACCAGTTCACTTTTTGTCAACTTGACTTTTATTAATAAATGTGTTGCATAAATGAGTAGAATTCTGTACATTCACTGCAAATAATTTTAAATATGAGTAACTCACCTCTTTCTTTAAGATCTTCAATATAGGCTTTCATAAATTCTTTATCAAAATGTTGGCGATCCTGTTCACTTTCCATTATCTCGTCACCATCTTGAGATTGGGTGTTATCAAGAGGATTATCCATAAGGCTTACAAATCTATACAAGAAAGTATGAAAAATACCACATTATACACCTTTGCATTTTTTTTTTGAGTTGGAGTCTCACTCTGTCGCCCAGACTGGAGTGCAGTGGCCACTTCCGGACACCGCAGCCTCAACCTGCTGGGCTCCAGCGATCCTTCCGCCTCAGCCTTCCAAGTAGCCGGAATTACAGGCATGCGCTACCACGCCCGGCTGATTTTTTGATTTATTGTAGAGATGAGGTATCGCTGTCCAGGTGGGTCTCAAACCCGCGGACTCAGGCAATCCACTCACCTCAGCCTCCCAAAGGCGCGGGATTACAGGCTGAGCCACCAAGCCCGGCTACCTTTGCATTTTTAATAGCAAAATTCCTCACATAAGATAAACTTGAAAGTCACAGTTGAGGCCAGAGCGGTGGCTCATGCATATAAACCCAGCACTTTGGGAGGCTGAGGTGAGAGAACTGCCTAAGCTCATGGGTTAGAAACCGGCCTGGGTAACTTGGTGAGACCTCATCTCTACAATAAATCAAAAAATTAGCCAGGTATGGTGGCGCTTGCCTGTAGTTCTAGCTACTTGGAAGGCTGAGGTGGAAGGATCGCTGAGCCCAGCAGGTTGAGGTTGTGGTGGCCGTGAGCATGCCACTGCCCCCCAGCCTGGGCTACAGGGTGAGACTCCAACTGAAAAAAAAAAAAGGAAGTCACAGTTGACCACATAATATTAGGGTCACCAGTGGAATTCCACGGTGGAATGGTCCAACAGGAGTGTGAAGTCAGTGTTAAGGCAGGGACCGTTCAGAAGACTGATGAAGAAATGAGAGCTCCTTAGTCACAGACACAGGGTAGGAGGCCATAAATAGGACACAGCACTTAGAAGAGAAGAGAAGAGAAGAGAAGAGAAGAGGAAGAGAGGAAGGAAGGAAGGAAGAAAAAGAAAGAAAGAAAAAAGAAAGAAAGAAAGAAAGGAAAGAAAGAAAGAAAGAAAAAGAAAGAAAGGAAAAGAAAGAAAGAAAGGAAAGAAAGAAAAAGAAAGAAAGAAAGAAAAAGAAAGAAAGAAAGAAAGAAAGAAAGGAAAGAAAGAAAGAAAGAAAGAAAGAAAAAGAAAGAAAGAAAGAAAGAAAG